CCCCCCCCCCTCCACCCCCCAGCTGTACCTGCGTAGCGGATGCTCTTCGACTGCAGCTTCGTCCAGAAGAAGGGCACCGTGTGGAGCGGCTTCTGCCTGCGCAACATGTTCAGGGCCGCCACATGTCCTGGGCAGGGAAGAGACAGGCCGTCTGCCCCCCTTGCCAGGCGAGGAAGCTGGCTGTCTCAAGGGCTCTGGGGGCGGGCAGGGACCCAGTTGGGCCCACGCAAAAGGTCTGGAAATGGAGCGCAGCCCTGGGCTCGCCCTCCGCCACACATGGGGGAAACCAGCGGCTCCGAGGAGACCCAGCCCAGCCTTGCTCTGGGAACGCCGGGGCCAACAGGCTCCCCTGCACTTGAGCCAAGGTTGCCCACGAGAGGGTCGATGCAGGCCGAGTGCCCCATTCAGACAACTCCCCCTCCTCCCAGGAGCTTCCTCCAGCCTGGGCCAGGATGTCCCCGGGACTTCTCCTGGGGCTGATTCAGGGCCCAGCTAGACCCGGCTTCTGCTCTGCCATCCTTGGGGTGTGACTGGCCACTGACGATTGTGCCCCCTCCTGGCCCATAGCCAAAGTGTAGCTCGAAAGAGGCGGGTACCGTGGGCTTGGGCGATCTGCCAGTGATAGATGGACGCAGACTTTCCACCAAACAGAGCCACGGGGAAGGAGGCCACGTCCCCAGCAGCAAAGACGGAGGGGGCGCTGGTCTGCATGAACTGGAAGGGAGCAGAGAGACTGGTCAGTGAATGGAGGGGGGGAGGCACTCCCTCAGGGTGACCCACCCCTGCTTACCAGGTCCACCAGGATGGCACCGCCACGGTCAAGGCGGATGGAGCTTCCCTGGACAAAACTGGAATTCGGAGTGACGCCTGTGGAGGGGAAGTGGAGCCTCCGGTCAGGCCAGTGCGGTCTCGTGTGGGGGCTGGCCCCACTCCCTCCAAGGACATGGGGACATCCTTGCTAATAAGGCAGCTGCAAGAAAAAGCCTGCCCCTCCAGATGTGGCCAGCTGCAGCCCTGGTGCCCCCAGCTGGTGGGCAGGAGCAGAGCCCTCTGTCCCTCAGCCTTTGCTGCTCCCCCTGGTGGGCAGAGGAGGAAATGCTGGCGCTGTTCCATCCTGATCACTGGAAATAGGAAGCGGGCTCCTCCTGCCTTAAAAAGCAGCAGAAGGCGGCCCTGCCCGTCTCCCCTCCTCTCTCAGTGTGGAAATGGTTCCAGAGCACCTCCAACTCACCGATGCCCACCACCACCAAGTCCGCAGGGAGAACTGAGCCGTTGCTAAGGACAACGCTGGTGACCTGGGGAAGAAAAGGAGGCAGAGATGCAGCAGCCCCTCCCCCCCTTTTCAAAGTCCTGATCTGCCAGCTTCTGGGGCAGCAGGGGGTCCCAGACCTTCCCATCTTCTCCCTGCATCTGGGCCACATCTGTCTTCATGTGGAACCGAACTCCCTGGGCTTGGAGCATCTGGAAGGGAGGGAGGGAAAAAGAGGAAGGAAGGAAGGATTATTCTCCTTGGAGCCCTCATCCAGTCACCTCCCCTCCAGGGCGGCTCCAGGAAGCAGCTCTAGTTCACAGGCCATGGGGGGGGCCTAGAAGGGGCCTTGCTGAGCCTCGGGAGTCCTTGAGCCAAGCGGGGACTTGTGCCCACCAAAGAAAGAAAGGTTTGCATTGCTCAGGAACTTTCCCTGTGACGCACCGTCTTCCGGTGGCGGCTACAATAAAAGAAAGCTAGAGATGTTTTTCCACCCAGGAATGGCTGCTTGAACTTGGCTGCAAGGATCAGCCTATGTGGAGGGGCCCCTGGGGACCCCCCTCCTTGCTGTGGGATCGCTTGCCCCTCCCTACCTTCATGGCCACGGTGCCCACCTGACCCCCCAGGGTCAGCAGGTAGGGCAGCTCTTCTTTCTCCACCACGTGTAGCTGGGCTGCTTTGCCAACCAGGCTGGCTGCCACCTCCATCCCTGTGAGGGGGGGGGAAGGCCAGGAGCTGAGAGGAGGCAGGCATGGAAAGTCGAAGCGGGAGGGGTGGGCAGCTCATAGCTGGGGGTGCAGATGAGCCCAGAGTCCCCATACCAATGAAAGAGGCTCCTACAATCACGACGGTCTTGCCAAGGGCCAAGGCCAGGATCCGGCTGGCATCTTCAGGGGTGAGGAGCGTGCGGACATTATCCAGGCTACAACCTGGGCACTGGAGCTTCCGGGGGCTGGGCAGAGGGGAGAGAAGCCCATCAGTCCCCGCCTGGTACCCACAGTGACACCTGGGCCGCCCCCTCTGCTCCCCCCCTCCCCCGGGGGCCTCATTTACCTGCTGCCTGTGGCAATCAGCAGGCTGCTATACGCCTGGGATCTCCCATCCCGGAAGTGGGCCATCTTGCCTGCAGGATCCAGAGACACCACCTGCAGCCGTGTGGAAGATGCAGAGGGGTTGGGCAGAAGCCCAAGTGGAACCCCCTCCCCCCCCTCCAGGCTGACCCCAAGCCAGCAGCTCGAAGGAGACCTTCCCGCGGTGGCTGCTGGCACGGGAGCCGTGAGGGGGGAGCCCAGCGGGCAGAGGTTGGTTTCCTTCCCAGTGCAGGAGTGGGCCTTCCTCAATGGAGCCGTTTCCTCCTCTGAGCTTCGGGACATGGCAGCCCGAGCCGCCTGCTCACCGGATGGGGACGGGACAAAAAGCACCAAGGGGAGGTTGAATCGTGCCCCCCCGTCTTGAAACGTGCCAAACCATCCCTACCCACCTCGCTCTGCTTCCGGACTTCAATGTCGTGGGCGTCCAAGAAACTCTGGCTCCGGAGATACAGGCTGTCGGCTGGGGCCCCCATGTACTAGGAGGCCGGAGGAGAAGCAAGGCTTAAGAGCTGGGGGGCCCTTTCGGCAATCGGGAGCATCCAAGGGGAGGGGGGATAGGAATCAGAGGCACCCCCCTTTTCCTCTCGTGAGGGGAGGTGTCCCACCTCTGGACCTCAATGTGCTTTCTTGGGCCAGCCCCCTTCCTCTCCCACGGCAGCTTCCAAAGGCCAAAGGCTCATGCCTGACCACAAGAATGGGGGGTGACCCCCCCCTCCTCTGCACAGCAGCAGCAGCTGCTGCCCTCCCCCCTCTGCACACTACTCAACTCCTCCCCCCACATGCCAAGGCAAACCCCTCCCCAGCCCAAACCTGGGTCAACTTTGTCCTGTCGTAGGGAAGGTGATCCTCCCAGGTGGCCATGACGATCCTTCCGGTGAAGCCCTCTTGCCGGAGCGTCTCCGCGCAGGTCAGGGCTGCCGGGCCTGGCAGGGAGGGGAGGGAGAGATCCGGTCCAGCTCTGCCCCGTCCCTGGACCAAAGCCTGGCTCTGTCCACCACCACCACCACCACCTTGACCACAGGCCCACCTGCTCCCAGCAGCAGGACCGTCTGGGGGTCCATCTGGCACTCTCTGGCCATGGGCTTCACTCTGCGGCTGCTCTCGAGATCCTGTCAGGGAAGGAAGGAAGGAAGGAGAGGGAAGCAGGCAGGGGAGGGGAGGGGAGCAGTGAGATGCCCTGCTGGCCACTATGGATCAGGCACGGGGCCCACCTACCTTCATCCTGGCTGAAATATGCACCTGCCCCTCCTCCACGGTCACCTGCAACAAGAAAGGGCTTTTCCTGAGCGATCGGGGGCCAGACCGTGCCAGGCTTCCCCTTCCCTTGGCAGTCTGGAAGGAGCGGCCTTTCTGAGGCCTCCCCCCCCCCACAAGCAGTAACCGGGGGCCCAAGAGTGCCCTTCCTGATGCCCAGCACAGGAAGGCAGATGACCCATTCGTCCCCCAACTGACCTAACCCCCCCCCACCTAACCAGGCTGCCTTGCTGCGCCTGGCCAGCCCTGAGCCTTCCCCGTGACACAGCCCTCTCCGGCGATGGCTGGGGTTATCTCTGGCACCCTCTTTCTGTCACTGCTTCGCCCACCAGGTCGGCTAACCGGTTCTGTTTTGCTTCAGCTGGAAGGCAGCTGTGCACACAGCCAGTTGGTCTAGCGGTTAAAGCTTCAGGTTGGAAAGACGGAGAGATGGTGAGTTCTAGTCCTGCCTTGGGCTTGAAAGCCGGCTGGGTGGCTTTGGAGCAGCCCCTCCCTCCCTCCCTCCCTCCCTCGGGCCAACCCACTGTGTGAAAGCAGGAGGAGGGAGGAGCACTGGGTCTGTTTTCTACCTGGGGCTATTTGTAAACGTAATAAATGTGGGATGTAAATAAGAAACTCTTGAGTCATTATGAAAGTGGGATATGATTCAATGAAATCTGCCTGCATCCTCAGGACGGTCTTTTTATCCTGCCCAGGTTGCAGAGCGGATGCCAGCTGGGGCTGCTGTGCCAAAGCACTGGGGTTGCCCCACAGGGTGGGAAGAGGAGGGCCAACCCCAGTCTGCTGCACCCAGCTGGGACGGCATACAAGCCCAGTGGGCCTAGGCCTGTGGGGCGCACTCACAAGCGCAGGGGCCTCCAGCAGGAGCTGCATTGCTGCACAGACCCCAAGAGCTCAGCAGTGGACAACCTGGGGGCTCCTTGCCCCTCTTAAGGGCTCCAGAGTCATCCGTTGCCCCCAAGGAAAAGAGGCACTGGGAGGCGGCTGGAGAAGATGCCCCCCCCCCACCCAGAGCAGTGTATGAAAGCCTCTGGGAGCTGGGACCATACGTGCTCCTTGCGGGGGGGGGAGGAGGGGGCAGGCAGAGTTCAAACCTACTTGGAAAACAGGCAGACAGTCCAGGGTGGGATACTCCTCAATGTCACCGGTCTCAGTGCTGAAGCAGGCTCCGTGCCAGGGGCAGCGCAACCGGCCCTTTGCCAGGTAGCCTGAAACCCAGAAAAAGAGACCCACGGAGGGGGGGGGGAGGGAGAGGCAGTGTCCTCTGAGAAACCGGAGCACAAAATGCCCCGAGAGGCGGCTGAGACTGCGGGAGCACCAGCCCTTGGCAGCCAGGCCTCAAGGGGGCATGGGGTGCTCTTGAGGTCCAAGGCCTCTTTGGGGTCCCCACGAGGAGCAGCCCCTCACCATGAGCGGAGCCTGGATCCAGAGCACCCGAAAGCCAGGCCTTTGCTCCCCACCCAGAGCCTTCCCAGTTCAGAGGAGGCTGCCCAGGGGGGGAGGAGGGGTTCACCTTTGCAGAGGGCAGCTCCGGCATGAGGGCAGCGGCCGCCCAGCGCTCGGATGACCGGTCCTTCCCTCAACAGCAGCACAGGGTATCCGGCCACCTCGACCTCCCGCATCCTGCACCAAAGGGGGCGGAAGAGCCATGGCTCAAGAAGCCTTTGCTAGGCTTGGAGGGCCCCCCCCCCCACAAAATGGATTGGGACTGGAGGAAGTGCTGGTGGTAGCACCAGTTGGAAGCCGCCCCCCCCCAACCTCCGTGTAAAAGCCAGGAATGGGACTCTTGGAATGGGCCAAAGGAGATGCATTTCACACATGGCCAGGAAATAGTGGTTCCCCCCCCCCACCTTAACCAAAAGGAGCCCCTGGCCGACCCCCCTCCCAAGGGCTGCCTTGAGGGCTCAGAGGTTGCAGAAGAGAGCCGGCCCAGACCATCCATTCAGAAACCGTGGTCAGCTGCACCAGGGTGGGTGGGAGGGAGGGAGGAAGGGAAGTCCCCTACGAGCTCCCAAGGGAGGCTCTGAAGGACCAGCCAGGCCCTGGTCAAGGGCCAGGCAGCCTTGGAGGCATTCAGTCGCCTCTTGAGGGGCCTCGGCTGCAGTCTCAGCAGCAAAGCCCCTCTTTCCTTTGGAGGCCCCACCAGCCAGACCCACCAACCCACCCAAGAAGAAGCAGGAGGGCCGCATCTCAGGGCAGGGAAAGGGTGGGGCCCTAAGGGCAGCCCGGCCCTCTTCCCTCCAACAGGAGCCTCTCTTTGACCTGGGTGCCAGCAGCCGCAGGCATGCCGGCTCAACTTGTGCACAAGAAGCCCCCAAGCAGAGGGGTCAGGACAGGGATGCTGACTCACTCGCCATCCTGGAGCTGATCTTCATGGCAGACGCGCTGAGTGACCAGGCTGTTTCCACCATCCTCCTTCTGGGCTGAGGCTGGAAAGAGAGAGGAAGTTGGGGAGACCCTCTCGCATCCCCCCTCCCCTCCCAGGGGCCCCTCTGCAGCAGCTGCAGGTCCTGCATGGTGCATTGAAAGGGCCGTAGAGGCTCCTCAGAAAACCCACCCACCCTTTCTGCCACTGGGGCCGGCACCAAAAGGTCCATAAGCAGCCGCTGGGAACTGGGGCAGCCGCAAAGATTCCCCCACCCACCCCCTGCTCCGGAGCTTCTCAGCTGGGAGCCTCGGTGGCTGTCAAAGGAGGAGGAGGAGGCTGGCCTTTCCTGGGGCAGCTGCAGGAGCTGCCTTTGCAAGCAGAGCAAGAGGCAGGGAGCGCCAAGGTCCCACTCTGCCACCTGGGCAGATCTTTGCCAGGCAAAAT